AGCCGATTGGAACTGAGATGGGCTGGACATGCCCTGGAGCTCTCCCATGGTCCCTCCCTGGCTGGCGAACCTCCTCTGTCCCTCCCTGGCCCCAATTGTCACTGGTAGGGTCCCTCAGCCTGGCCTGCACCCTCTCACAATCTGGGATCCCTCAGGGGATGTCAGAGAGTTGGTTTTGGCCTGATCCCGCAGGCCAGGCCGAGGGACCCCCTGGTGTACAAATTCATGCACCGGGCCTCAAGTGTATTCATAAAAAGGGTAGGAAAAATAGCATGACGATGGAAGTGAAGCCCAAGGAAGAGATGGCGAGCAGAGTTTCTCAAACAGATACAGGGAGTGCCTGCGCCAAAGCCTCCTGAAAGGTGCAGGCCACCCAGACTGCTTGAATCCAGTATTGGCAGTAAAGCCTGGGAACCTGAATTTTAATTTTATTTTTATAAAATATACTAGAGGCCCGGTGCACTAAAATTTGTGCACCCGCTGCTAACTGGCCGTGTGATCGCGGGCAAGGCCATCAGCTCTGTCTGCCTCAGGGTTCTCACCTGTGAAATGGGAATAGTCCTGACTCTCTGTAACGAGGATTACAGATGGCGCCCTCGGTGCCAGACGCAAGGACAGGCACTCGGGATAACCAGTGAAGAAGACGAAGTCCCTGCCTCTGTGCAGCTCACGTTCCAGCAGATAAACGGGCAGTGAGTGAGACAAATGCTTTCTCTCGTTACACGGAATCAGCCATGGGTACGTGGAGAGAGTGGGCACCAGAACCCGGGGTAGGAGTTCCCTGACTCCTCAAATCTGTTCTCGCTGGCAGAGCCAACGTCAGCAGGCTTTTTCCTTTTCATTATAGGGATTTTCAAACATGTAAAACAATGAACCCAGAGCTAACGTATTCCGTCACTTGATGGTCACTACAACTTGAAACGTGCATATATCTTTACTCCCATTTTATGGGGGAGGGACACTGAGGCACAGTCTGTGTCGTAGGCCACAAGGTCAGCAGTGGCACCAACACTGGACCCCGACCGAGCCCGCGGGCTACATGAGGCCAGGTGGTGTGCTCAGCCGCCCCGAGGAGGCCTGCTGCCCAGCAGCGCCCTCCATGGCAGCCCTGGGGCCTTGCCAGCTGCCGGAGAGGGAAGCACCTGCTCTGAAAGGCCTGCTGCCCCTGCAGGTGGGTGCGGCCCACGGACCTCCATCCTGGGAACCCCCGCAGGCCCTGCCCCATGCAGAGCTCCCACAGTAAGGACTGCTCTAATCGGCATCTCAAAAGGAGAACACTGGCCACCCCTCCAGGCTGAAGGAGGGGTTTGGTTTTTTTAAAAAATAGATTTTTATTGATTTCAGAGAGGAAGGGAGAGGGAGAGAGAGATGGAAACATCTCAATGATGAGAGAATCATTGATCAGCTGTTTCTGGCACACGCTCCACTGGGAATGAAGCCTGCAACCTGGGCATGTGCCCTGACTGGGAATCAAACCATGACCTCCTGGTTCATAGGTCAATGCTCAACCACTGAGCCATGCCAGCTGGGCAGGAGTCTGCATTTTTAAAAATATATTTTTATTGATTTTAGAGAGGGAGGGAAAGGGAGAGAGAGATAGAAACATCAATGATGAGAGAGAATTATTGATCGACTGTCTCCTATAATGGGGATCAAGCCAGCAACGTGGGCATGTACCCTTGACCAGAATCAAGCCAGGACCCTTCAGTTCACAGGCCAACATTCTATCCACTAAGCCAAACCAGCTAGGGCAAGTCTGCATTTTTAATAATCTCCTTTGGTAAGTCTTGTGGTACTCATGTTGGAGAGCATTAATATAGGCACTTGGATAAGGTCAGCAGGAGTAGATGAACTACTTCAAAGGCTGATGAAGACCCCAGCAGATGTGTTCTCATAGGCATTGCCGATAACCTTAGAGATATTTTTGAGTATGGAGAGAAGGCAAGTGATGTGAAAATAGTGCCCCAATTTCAAACATGAGAAAAGGGTAGATGCCAGAAACCACAGCCTTATAAGGCTGACATGACCTTTGGAAAAATCTTGTTCCAAACAGATGAAGTCAAAAAGCATTCAGAGGAAAATGTGATGTTCACTAGGCATCATCGTGGATTCACTAAAACATTGTCTCTATTAGAGATTGTCAAACTTTGCTGCATATTAGAATCATCTGGGGAGCTTTAAAAAATCCAGATTCCCAATTCCACCCAAGGGGACCCAGGCACCAGTTTTTTAAGCCTCCAGAGATTCTGATTTAATAAGATGCTGTCTGATCAATGAGAGTTTGAAAGCTCCCCAGGTGATAACTAAAATGCAACGAAGTTTGATAACCATTTTGTCTATATGATAATTATGCAAGATGCTTAACTTCCTTGTACTTTCTGTCAATTCTAGGTAATTTTAAAGGTCTCTCCCACCTTTACCCATCTATGATTTTATTATTGAAAATCATGCCAAACTGATTTCCTTTCTTCCTCTCTCCCTGACTTCCCACCCTCCCTTTCCCTTCTCTTCCTCCTTTTCTTTTTCTTCTTCTTCTGATTTGCGATAGCTTGGAATGTCAAGGTGTCAAAGTACATATCTTAATTTCATTAAAATATTTAACAAATTTCCAAGGACCACCCTGGCTGGTTTGGCTCAGTGGTTAGAGTGTTGGCCCATGGTCCAAAGAGTCCTTGGTTTGATTCCCAGTCAAGGGCACGTACCTTATTTGCAGGTTCCCAGCCCCTGTAGGGGTGCGTGCAGGAGGCAATCAGTTGATGTGTCTCTATCACGTAGTGTCTCTCTCACGTAGGTCTCTCCCTCTCCCTCTCCCTCTCCCGCGCCCTCTCCCTCTCCCGTTTTCCCCCTTGTCCCTCACTTTCCACTCTCTCTAAAAATCAATGGGAAAAATATCCTCTGGTGAGTATTAAAAAAAATTTTTCCAAGGACCTCTCATAAATACATAAGCTGATAGGTATGATGGATGAATGTACCACCTAAGTGTACAAATATGCTCGAAGGATGTGATGGATCTGCGGTAACCTTGGAAAATGGTTTGGAGTGGAATGCCACAAGGGTTGTTGTGCTCTTGGAGCTGACCTTGTTACCATTTAAGAAAGATATAGCCCTAGCTGCTTTTGCCCAGTAGTTAAAGTGTCAGCCTGCAGACTGAAAGGTCCTGGGTTTGATTCCATTCAAGGGAATCATATGTTGGTTGCAGGCTCGTGCAAGGGCATGTACCTCAGTTGCAGGTTTTATCCCCAGCCTCAGTTTGGGCATGAGTGGGAAGCAACCAATCTCTCTCTCTCTCTCTCTCTTTCCCCCTCCCTTCCATTCTCTCTTAAAAAATCAATGGAAAAAAATATCCTCGGGTAAAGATGAACAACAACAACAACAACAACAACAAAGGATATAAAAGAAATCCCTATTCAATTTGTAAATAACTCCAAATTTAAGAGGGTTAATTGATTCAACACGTAAAAGAATCAGGCCTGTTCTGATTAGAATATCTGTTTGTTAAGGTTATTATTTTAAAAATATTTTCATAATTAAAATATTTTGCTCATTTTTGTTTTTCCTTTTCTTCAGTTGAGTTGAAATTTTGAAGCTTTTAGTGTAGTGCTAATGGAAACATAAACATGCCTGTAGGGTTCCTAGTTAGTTAGTTGTTCTATGACTTTGTTCCTATAAGAAATGTAAATATATTAGATCAGGTTGCTTTGGAGCATCAAAAAATAAAGGAAATGTGGGAGCTAAAAAAATAATAATTTTACTCCCACCTTCTAGTTTCTTCTACATGGGCTAATAATCAAATCAACAGAGACAAATCACCAGGAGGAAATTAAATTTTAATACATGCTCACAGGGGATTCACATAAGCATGGAAATTCCAAAGACAGTGAAGTAAAATTGGGTGTACTGTATAGGTCATTTTTGAACAAAGAAGAAAAGGGGGCCTGAGATTTCAAAGCAAGTAGGCAATTTACAGGTAGTTGAGGAAGAGAGGAACATACTTTTGCTAAGCAACCCAGAAACAGTGAGACACAGGGTGGTCTAGTAAGTGGGCACCTGCTTGGAGTCCTCCTTCTAATACTAAGGTGATTGTGATAAGGTTCTCTTCCTGAAGCAGGTTCCCCACCCCCCCCACCCCATTTGAATCTCTTAGGCAGGAAAGGGGGAAGGTCAAAGGTTCTTTCTGAGTCTTTTGTTTCTCTTAATATCCCTGCTTAAAGATCAGTATCACCAAAAGCAAAACTTTTGGCCCCCTTCAGAAATATCATCCCCCAAAAAAGCGATGAGGAAAGGAATTTTGTCAGAAATTCTCAGGGAGTGATTGTGGAAAATCCCTTTAGCAGTTTCATCTAACTCATCAGAGGGGCTGGTGAGCTAGCGGAAGGTAGATTTGGAAGAGTCTCAAAAACACTGGGAGAGCTTGTTTAAAAAGGGCACTTGGACAGATTCTGATGCCTTCCTTTGAGGGGGAGGCCTTGAACCTCCTTTTTATAAACAAGTGCTCTGATTCTGAGAAATATTGTCAAAGAACTGACTTTGATTTGGATTTTGGCATTTAAATGTCTTGTTTTTGTCTCATAGTCAGCCCTCCAATTTGTGTTTTTCAAAGCCCAGATAGATTTAATTATTTGAGCTGAAAACTAAACTGTTAAATAATGTCAGATCTTTCATATTTTATTCCCTATATTTCAATTAGAAAATTGAACGCTCTTACATTGCCATTTTTCTTTTCGTTTTTAATGTTTTATTTTCTGCAGACCTTGATCTGACTGAGACATGAGGAAAATAAAATTTATGTGTAGCAGAAAAGCAACCTATAGCTGCTCCGTTGCTACTGCTGTGCTGTGGAAAATAAACCAGGATTAGATTATGTCTGGTCACTTTCCACATCACATACAAAGGGCAGTTGAGAAGAAGCATAAAATGAATCCTGCTGAGCAGTCAGTCCTTAGATACCTAGTTGTTAACATCCTGCTTCCTTCCCCTCCCTCCTGTGTATTCCCCATCAGGCTCTGTGACTGAAGTCAGCTAAGGAGTGGTTTCTCACACCATCTGGGAATAAGAAGCTGCAACTATTTCACACCATCTAGAAGACATGGGCTGTGGTAGTTCATCAATTAAAGTCAAGAAATCTGCAAAAAGTGAGTGCTAGGAATGTGCCTGTCTTCCTGATGAAAAATGAGCCAATTACCTGTCATCCTTTCTCATTTACTCACATAGTTGGTTCTGGAGCTGCCTGCTCTGTGTGATTTTGCACAAGGCATCATCACTTGAACCAAAGGTTAAATATTGGGATAACATCAGAAACTACTGTTAGGAAAATGTAGCTTTGAATTTCTGATGTACCATAAAGTATTATCTAAGAGATATTTTATATTTGATTTGGTTTCAGTTGGAAATGTACTAATATAAAATCTCAATTTAAAACAGTGGCAGGGAACAAGAAAGTCTCTGTAAACTTATATTGTTTATTCAATATGCTTATAAATAGCTATATTCATACCTATGTGACATTTGGTAACATCATTGAATCTTTATTAGGTTTTATAACTCAGTGATCAGATTATTTTTATAGCTATTCAACACAGAACTTTATGAGATTTGCCTCATGTTTTTAGAATATTCTAGGTAGAATTTGGCAAATGCTAGATCATCTGCTTCTCCAAAAGGGTGTTGTTTCTAAATAGTTGATATGCCCCCTACTATTCCTATATAATTAGAAACTTAATATTTTCTTTATTTTGTACTGAGGTTCTTTCTCATAGGTACTAGAATCTAGTTATAACTCGAGTGTTTAAGAAACATAGTCTTTGCAAAGAAATTAAAATAAAAACAAGCAAGCTGGGACAGTTATGTGAATAATTTGTTCTTAAATTCCATCCTTTTGTTATCTAGGTATAGATAATTGCCCCAATTTCTCTTCCACATCTTGGTGTGTTTTTTTTAATCTTTATTGTTCAGATTATTACAGTTGTTCCTCTTTTTTCCCCCCATAGCTCCCCTCCCCCCGGTTCCCCCCCCACCCTCTGCCCTTACCGCCCCCCCCACTGTCCTTATCCATAGGTGTACAATTTTTGTCCAGTCTCTTCCTGCACCCCCACACCTCCCTTATGGATCTGAGGAGTTTTAATCTGGATGGTCCCACTATGACCACTGGGTACACAGCCTCTTGGATCTCTAAGGAGGTGCTAATTTAGCCTCTCCCTGAGGCTACCTAGCAGGAGGTACAGAGAGACCTGCAGATTCCTCTTCTTTGTTTGGGATTTGGAGGTGCCCAGATGAGGCCCAGCTGTGAAGCAATGCAGTCTGCTGTGCGGCCTTGGGCCTTCTTTTTGATGACCTGGATCTCTCTGACCCAGCTGCAGTTTGTTAGGTAATTTTAGATTGCAAAGGGCCAGGTCATTCATATGCAAAAGCCTCTGCACACAGCTTGGGTGGGGCAGGGTCTCAGGGAATCAACAGGGCGAATCAAACAGCTATGGCTGATCCTCAGCCCTGCCCTAAGAGGTCCAGGGTCTCAGTGTCCTGCGGTAATCGCTGCAAGCCCCTCTGAGAGAAAGCCGCCCTCGAGTTCTGTCCACTGCCAGACAGTGCAGTTTCTCCCGGTATGAGTCTCAGTCCCCAGAGACTTGCCCAGAACTGGAGTCAGGGCCATCGGGAACTTGTGTCTCCCTCCCGATTGAAAAAGACAACCGTGTCCTCAGTTGCCAGCCCTTTCTGTGCACACCTCCATACCTCTGCACTTTACTTCTGGACCTCCTCTGAGTTTCAGTGTGCTTTTCTCTTTCCTTCTAGTTGTAGAATTTCCACTCAGCCAGCCTTCCTGTGGTTCTGGATGATGTCTATTTTGTCTTTTAGTTATATTTTTGAAGTGGTTGTGCGAGGCAGCAATTTCCGGTGTTTACCTATGCCACCATCTTGATTTCTCCTCCATGCTTGCTCTTCAATTTATCCACATCTTGGTTTTGGAAGTTCACTCAGTCTTAGTATGGAGAGTTTAGGATGAAGAGTTTTCCATGCGAGTTAGTGTGAGATGTTTTCCTTTTGGTTTCAAATGCTGTGCTCTCTCCTAGTTGAATTGTGCATGTGTAGTTGGCCATCCATATCTGTGGATTTCCCATCCACTGATTTATCCAACCCTGAATCAAAAATATTAGAAAGAAAAATATCCCAGAAAGTTGGGGGCGAGCAGGCATGGAATGTTAAGGCATTTAAAAAATGTTTTTATTGATTTCAGAGAGAGGAAGGGAGAGGGAGAGAGAGGTAGAAACATTGATAAGAGAGAAACATTGATAGGCTGCCTCTTGCACACCCCCTACTGGGGATCCAGCCCACAACCCTGGCATGTGCCCTGACTGGGAATCGAACTATGACCTCCTGGTTCATGGATGATACTCCAGCTAGCTGAGCCACACCAGCCAGGCTCATGGTCTTTTTGAGAAAGAGTAGCTTACATGTAAAATGTAAGCTATCCCCTTCTTGTGGGCTATCCACCTTCTATGTAGAGAAGTAGCATTGATTTTTATCATTATTGTTGTTATTTCACTCCCTTTGTGACATGCAACAGGGAAGAGAAAAATAATGGCTATACTTTACTGAGTGCCTACAACATTCATTATTTCTATTTCTCACCAAAATTCTTGGAGGAAGATTTGATTAGTCTCTCTTTCTAGATGAAGAAACTAAGACTTACAGAACTGCCCCAAGTCATGCATTAGTTGGTGGCTGAACCTGAATTGGAGCCAGGTTTGACAGATTCCAAAGAATATGCTACTTTAAAAAAAACCTATTGAATGTATTGGGGTAACATCTATACTAATAAAAGGGTAATATGCTAATTAGACCAGGAAACCTTCCGGGAGACCTTCTGGACGTCCTTCCAGACAAAGCCATGGTGGCGGGGCCGAAGCAGAGGCGGTTAGGGGTGATCAGGCTGGCAGGGTGGGTCAGTTGGGGGTGATCAGGCCAGCAAGCGGGGGCAGTTGAGTGAACAGGCTGGTGGGGAGGGCAGGTGGGGGCAAGCAGGCCGGCAGGCAGAGTGGTTAGGGGCAATCAGGCAGGCAGTCAGGTGAGTGGTTAGGAGCCAGCGGTCCTGGATTGCAAGAGGGATGTCCGACCCCTGTGGGATCGGCCCTAAACCGGCAGTCGCCCAGCCCGGGCTGAGGGCTCCAACCCCCCGAGTGCACAAATTTTTGTGCACAGGCCTCTAGTCTATAATAAAAGTATAATATGCTAATTAGACCGGACATCCAAATGACCTCCAGACATCATTCTGGATGTCCTTCTGGATGAAGCCATGGTGGTGGGGCCGAGGCAGAGGCAGTTAGGGGCAATCAGGCCAGGAGGGGAGGGCAGTTGGGGGTGATCAGGCTGGTGGGGAGAGAAAGTAGGGGTGAGCAGGCCAGCAGGGGTGGCAGTTTGTGGTAAGTAGACTGGTAGGGGGGCATTTGGGGGCAAGCTTGCCAGCAGGGGGGCAGTTGAGGGCCAGCAGGCTGGCAGGGGGTGGCAATTGGGAGCTAGCAGGCCAGTGAGGGGGAAGTGGGGGTGATCAGGCAGGCAGGCAGGTGAGTGGTTAGGAGCCAGTGGTCCCCGATTGTGAGAGGGATGTTCGACTGCTGGTTTAGGCCCAATCCCTGTGGGTACATAAGACCTTCTTCACTTCATATGATTCTCATCTTTTTCCCAGTCGTACATCCCCCAAGGGGCCCCAGATTGGAGAGGGTGCAGGCCAGGCTGAGGGACACCCCTCCATGCACAAATTTCATGCACCGGGCCACTAGTTGGTTAATAAAATGGAATAGGTTTTAGGTATACAACTCTATAATACCTCATCTGTATATTGTATTGTGTGCTTACTACCCCAAGACAAGTCTCCTTCTTTAATCATTTATCCCCCTTTTACCCTTTTCTACCTCCTCCTGTTATTGGTGGAAGTGGAGTTCTTGGGGTGCTGCAAGGAAAAGGAATTTCCTGAGACCCCCATGGGAGGATGGGGTTTTGTGGAAAGCTTTATTGATGATGTAAAGTTAAGGGGTTCTCCTCCAAGTTCCCATCTTTGCCCTTCTCACCATAGAAGAAGTCCAGTCTTCAGCAGGCCCAGAATGAAGGCCACGGCCCAGAGTTTCCGCTTCATATTAAAGCACAGTCCAGTCCAGCATCTGGCTAGCTTAGCTTGTGTTCCCAGCTGCAGTCCATTGTGTGTGGGGTATGCAAGGCCATGGGACATGTGACTGCTTAAGGCCACATGGCTATAGAGAGAGAACAGGTGATCACACAGATGAGTGCGGTCATGGAGCAAGAGAGAGTAAGAGAAGAACAAAGCAGAGGGAACTCCTTGGGGATTTTAACCAGTAGCTTCTTCAAACTAACCAATTAACTTTCTAAGATTTCACATGCTTTTGATGGGGTCCACCCCCTAGCCAATCCATTGTTCCCCAGACTAGACTGACAGACAAGCACCTCCCCTGGGCCACTCCAACTCCCACTGCACATGTGCATATTCCCCCTTCTTCCCCCAATAATCCAGTACCAGATGGGGGAAGGGAGGGGTGTTTATACCTTGGAGGAACAATGCTGTGTGGAGCTGTAGCTTCCTGATGAAGCTTCCCAGGTGACTATGTTTACAATGTCTGACTCCATTTGCCTTCTTTTCTTTATTAATATTTATTAATGTTACAATAACACCCCACCCCTCTTTCCCTCTGATAATCACCATACTGTTGTCTGTGTCTATGAGCTTTTGTTTTTATTTCTTAATCCCTTCACCTTTTTCGCCCAGTCCATGCTCCTTTTGATACACTGTCCTGACTTGTCAAATTGGAATTCAACCAAAAAAACCCAGAAATTAAACATTGCTATTTCATTCTCCTGAACTTCAGTTTACACTTAAAATTTTATATCAATGGGTTTTGAATTAATAATCTGTTTCCTTTTGCTTTTTCTCATGGAGCACTTTGAGAACACTCTGATATATTTTCTTTTGTTCCTTTACTTGAGACCACTTAGACATGCATTTATTCATTTTCTCTAAGTGCTGAGGAGCCCACAAAGGCTATCTGTGCCAAGCCAGCTCAGCCAAGGGTTCACAAGCCTGAGTGAGGGCGGCAAATGGATGAAGAAATGATAGACAGAATAAACTGGG